ATTATAGAAGACCGTTAGTTTGGGCTTTTATTAATGTTAATGTGAAATATATAAATTTTGCTGTACATATCTATACATACACCTAAAAAAATTAAAAAATTAAAAAGTTTTAGTTCTCTCATATCAGGCTGACATGAAATTTGATTTTTCAGTATGGAGAGTGTTTACAAAATAGAATTCTTATCTATGTACTACACATGAAATAAAAAACTACATTGTGGCTGCTTTATAAATTGTATTATTATAATGTAATTATACAAATATATACCTTGCAATATAATAAATAACTGTAAAAATTACTTTGTAAAACTAATTTTTGTTTAGTAAACCTAATCACAAAGTAGTATTAGAATAGCAAGACGTACAATTACACAACAAAATAATTTTACAATGACATTATACAGTTTATTTATAAAATCACAGTCGATAGGAACATTACCACAGCAATCAAAGGTAAATTAATCGCCATCTATTTTTACTTCAATTTCTTTTTTCATTCATTTGTAAAACGGGTCTTTTGTTATCCCGGAAGTAGATTTTTTTCACATCTTTCTAAAAAGTGGTTGGAGAGCACAATTCGGATTTTTGGTTATCAAAATCGCCCAGCTTTCTAACGGCCGCGGGACCTCATCGCGTTCTTCCGGACACATCTAGATTAGGCACATCTAGCCGGTCATGATCCGGCGATGCCCAGCCAGCGAACCTAGAAACGGCCGACGAGCGGAGGGCCGCGCGCCGACAATGCCGTGACGTAAGTGGTGCTGGCACACTGACCCAGTGCGCGCCGAAAAGCGACCTCCGAAAACGAGCTGCGGGTAGACGCGGGTGAACGAACCTCCTCGCCATCCTGAGAGAAATGGTCCCCGCGAGGTTTCACCGAAACAATGTGGGATTAACGACACCTCGCCGTTGCGCCACGGTGGAAAAAGTGCACATGTGCGTATGCAAATGTGCTCTCCGCCATTCAAATGCAGATTTTGGCTTAGATCAGCCGGAATCGGCGAAAGACGGTGAGCATATGTTTCACGGCCCCGGGGCTCTCGATTTTGGACCCATAATTGATGACGAGTGCTGTGCTTCTTCACAGCATTCTACGCTGTAAATAATTGGTGTGAGTTGACACGTTAAAGACAATGAGTTAATCCACTTAGTTTCACAGCTGAGCAGTTTCACAATTTTACTCATTACTACTACTAAAATGGATTATCACTCAAATATAAAACTTATAAAAATACTTTAAAAAATTATATTTAGGTACTACACTTATACTATAGACAAAATTTGAAAATTTCAACTCAATCCGTTGAGCGGTTTTCAAACTATATGATTTTTAAAATGCGAATATTTGTCTCAGCCGTGGCAATGCAATGACGTCACCTCATGGGAGGGTCAGCCGGCTTGGCGCTACTTCCAGATGTGTTTCTGCATCTACCGAATGTTTTAGCGTTTGTGCATATTAAATTTAAAAAATGGAAGCAAATTTCGTAAAAAAGGTTCTTCTAATTTGCCAGAAGTAGGTTTGTTAATGGTTATGGATTTTTTTAATAAAAACCACGACTTTACCAGAGCTGAGATGAGAGGAGTGAAGATGCAAAGGTTACGTTTCAATAACATATAAAGCTTTTTTAAATTACTGTGGGTACACATGTTCGCAAGTGACCCATTTTTAAGCATTGCGTCAAGAGCGCCAGCAGGACGCCGCCGGACGCACCAGCGTTCCAGGAAGGGTCTACGGCGGACTGGCGCCGGCGACCAGACGCGTACTCATATACCGACGATCGACTCCACACACAGGAACTCTCCAACAAACTCACCCCGTCAACACGTCTTTTTCTATACAATTTTCAATAAAATACTTTATTATTACCGTTGAGAGAGCGTTTTATTCTTGCTGTACAGCGAAAGCAACCCTCAGTACCTACGTTTGTAGCGAACGTTTTGATGTTTTTGCACAATAAGAATAGTAAATAAGAATAAGGATTTTACGTTTAATTGGACTAAACCGTTTCTGCCACAGGTTTAAAAAATTTAGCTAATCAAATATAAAATTCTTATTCCTATTTTTATTCCCATAGAAACTACATAAAATCTACCTCTACCTCAACTATCTTATAAATATAGTAATAATATAATATTTATTATGTATTTTTAAATAAATACTTGGTACCTAAGTATAGGTATTTGTACAATATTCACAAAAAAAAAACAATTGAAAACACAAGTGTATAGTGTTTCTAGAGGATATAAACGTATTTATTACATATTTAAATTATGCAGGGTAGTTTTGTCGCTTTCAAAATAAGTCATTTTAGATCTGCACGACAGAATTACGGGGACATTATTATTTTCTTATGCGTCTTCACACTAGTGCTCTCACACTGGGGAACAATACAATATCCGTAATTTTTTCTGTTCTGTATCTTCCACATTGCTAATAAAATTCGGTATCTTAACGTATTCAGCCGAAACTTAACAGGCAACTAAAACCCGACTACCCGAACCCGACTGACTGACAACACACGCAAGCATGCGGCATCGTTTTCCCATGCGGTGACGTCACACCTTGCGGTTCATTGGATACTCTGCGCGCCAGTTTATGATTTTTTTGGATGATTTGTAGGCGATATAAAATTCAAATTTTTTGCAGAGAACAATAAAATTGCAATATCTTTAAGCAAATAAAAAAAATTGCTGAATGAGCCCATTTATCAATTTGGTCAAAATTGGCCTAGTCGAAATTTTGAAAAATGGCCCAAAAAGTACTGGGAAAATTCCAAAGTGTTCTATTATCAATTCTAAGAACATGCCCTTTTCGAGTAAAACATAATCTTCTTTGATTCGGGTCTCAATTAAGTGATATAATATGGATTTCATCCCCAGTAGTTCAAACATATTGGAAAAATATTGTAAACGACATATTTTGACATAATACTAGTTATGAATCATTACAGACAATATAAACCCAATTACATTACCAGAATTTACTAGTTGCACATTGGACCTTTATATAAATTATATTCACTGTGTACATTAGACGCTTGCCTTTTACCAATATGATACCAATATTGGCTAATCCTTCCTAATATTGAGCCTAAATTCAATATGTTTTAGTTTAGTGATTTCTGCTTAGACAAAACTCAATTTATAAAATTAACCCTTTGACCAATCCTTTTGGGGTTAAAACATATTTATTTATTTATTTTATCAGAATACCCAATTAAATAAAAATGTAACTGAAAATGCCACAATTAATATGGACTATTTACATTAGTGAATGTGTTGCCATTTCGCACGGGTTAATTGAAATAACCGGTTTGTCCATTATAGTTACCCAATTTAAAACTGTGCTATATCTACATTTTGTGACATATTGTGATGAAAATTAAGGGGAAAGTTTTTGATTATATGTAGTACTTTGAAGAAAACATTGTTATTGGACTGGAGATCAGTGTTTTTTTTGTAAGCCTAGAAATGTATCAAATTATCAAAATTTTCTATATGTCAACCATAGACTCATCAAAATAAACAGTTTTTTTGAAAACCGATATTTTTGTTTCATGCTTCAGCGTATGCACAACAGTAAAATTGAGGTGGCAGAATTTTTGATAAAAATGTTCACGGAAACTTAAATTTTCGAAAAACCACAGTAAATTCCTCGTTTTTCGATTTAAATGCAATTTAACCATTCAAAAAAAAACCATTTGATCTCAAAACGATTGTCAGCAGGATTCTACGATTTATTTACTGTAGGGTAGGTACGTGCATTGTATTTTCTAAATTTCCACTTTTGTAAAATTCAATTTTTTCCATGACAACTTCACGGAAGCCTCCAAATCAACCTACAACACTGGCATTTTAATTTTAATACGACTCTTACAAAACCGTGATTCAAATTATGCGAAATTTCAAACAAATTTCTTGTATACCTTCATATTTACTTTTATATTTTTTTCTGTGCAAAACTCTTTTGTTGTTCGTAAGAACCATGTAACCGATTGCTACTGTCACGCTTTTGGGTCCTTTGTTTCGCTAATCGAGCCTACATCTCTCAATATTAAGATTTTGCATTAGTACCGTTGTCGGTTACCCACGTGTGCACCTAGCTAATGGATGTTGCGACACGCACTGTCAAATTTAGTTCGCGGTTTCTATTCAGCCCGGGGTCACAGATTATTCGGCTGGTTTGGCCCGCAAGATTGAAAGAATTTAAGCCTTTCTTTTTGTACTGACATGCTCCTCAATCCGTAGAAGTATAGTTCACATACTACGTTTTTGCAGTTAGTTTTCCGTTTCATGTTTAACAGTTATTTTTGTTCGGCGAAGTTATAAAAAACTATGCTTCTACAGGGTGAAATATTAAATAATACTCGATAACAGCAACCTTAAAACTATTTTATACGACATTAATATGAAACAAGTGTCTTATATATAAATATTCATGTTTTAATTTTAACAAACGATGTAGATAACAATAACATCCATAAAAATATTTTGTTGACTGTTTAGTCGCAATTTTAGTTAATTATAACTTTTATCAATGCACATGTAATCGTTTTAGTTATTGTTGTATCAAAAGGGGATTTTGCGTAGTAAATAATTATATATAAGAGACACAAAAAAACGACTAGCCACGTGGAGGATGTAAGATCTCTGTTACCAATGTCAACAAATATCCATCAAGATATCTACATTATTTATAACTATTTTCCAATAATTATTATTGTAAAGTTGTCCAAAAAATTAACCTTTTAATACAGAGAATTGTTAACAAAATAAAAATGATCAGTGCATATTACTTACTAGTAATTAAAAGAAGATTTATGATTATCGTAATCAAGATAGAAAAGAACTGCACTTCTGTAAGACCAACGTTTCCTTACTTTAATATAAATTTCTTCATCAGGGCACACAATGCTGCTGTGCGGTTCCTTTTATCCTGATTCCGAAGATCATCATCATAAATTGTCATTTCAAGACATACAAAGTTAGTAATTACTCACCATATCCTTTCATTATCCCATGGGTTAAGTAAAGTGGCGCCCTACCAATGGTGGCGTCTTTAAAAAAGAGATGTTTGATGACTTTTGGTTCCGTAACAACCACCGTATAAATGCTTCCCAGAGATAAACCATAAATAGATCCATATTTTTTCGAAAGTTGGGTAAATGTTAAATATGGAGCTTTAGAATCGATCCAGGGTAAGTATCCCAGCACGGGTAATCCCCACGGGCCTGGCGGGAGGTCCATATTCTTCCAAAATGTGTAAGTCAATAGGAAGATCAGTATGGTTACAAGTATGATTATTAACATCTATAACAAAGAAATATGTATTTATTGAGGAAAAAACTTTGCCACATTGGAAAGCGTAGTCAAAATCTAGAACAATACGTTAATAGAAGTTTTTTTTTTCATTTTTCCCCAAGATATTACAACCATAAATGTAAAAGTTTGTGTGAAAAGTATAATACAAAGATTGGTGATGGAGAAACTATACGAGAGAGTTGTAACTGGGTAAAACAAATTCAAGCCATCTGGGGGATTTCTCCTATTTTCCGAAAAGATAGAAAGACGTAGTTTAGATGTCACGACCTCGATTTTTGAAAAGTTGAATGGCATAAGTCGCATTTCGATAACTTATTATTATAAATGGCGTTTTTCAATTTTAGTCGTTTCCTACGACTATTACTTTTTTAATAAAAAAAATTAGATATTTGTAACGAGGTTTTTTTAACAAATATTATTACACAAATTTTCGTTTTTCACAGTTATCATACAAACTTGTATACAGGGATGGCCAGAAGTACGGAATAAAATTCATATCTTTTGAATGAGTTAATTTTTTTTAAAACGCCGAAACACGTTAACTGATTTTGATTTTTTCCCATCTTTCGGTTATATAATAATTAATTTTTCTTCAACCCCCTAACCCCCAGCTACCCCTACTTTTTTTTTCAAATGGAAACATAAGGCATGAGGGGGCTCGTTGAAAAGCTTATAGAAAACCGAATCCAGCCATACCAAATAAACAAGTTTTATTTTTTCAATAGCAAGGTTTTTAGGGTTGTATAAAACACCTACTTAACAAGTGAAATAAAATTTAATTATCTTCAGTGTTATCCTCCATGAATTTGCACAGAATAAAATAAAGAATTTGAAACTGTACCTATCACTGCTAACGCAAAAAAGATATATTTTTTATGTTGCGTTTTTTTGGCACCACTTACTTGCCAGGCTTTCTGGTTAATTTTTCGCTTTAGTTGTAAATTGGAGTTCGAAACGTTACTATTGTGTCAAAATCAAGTTATTTACTGAATTGCAATGGTATTGTCGGAAAGGCAACGCATCGAAATCTTGATATTGCTTGGATGTGGAGACAAAATAAGAAGTCAGGCTGAAGTGCGCGATTTATTTAATGCGAAATATCCCGAAAACCAAATCTCGCAAGGGACAGTTAGTAAAATATTTCACAAATTTGAGGAACACGGTACAGTACAGACTTTGCCCAAAACTGGACGGGCACGTGCTTTGAATGAAGAAAAGAAATTAGACATTGCATTAGAACTTGTTGAAAATCCTCATACTTCAACTGTTTCATTGGCCCGCAATCACGATGCTTCTCGAACTGCAATTCGAATGTTTCTGAAACAAGAGAAATACCACCCCTATAAGGTATGTCTTGTCCAAGAGCTTTTGGAAGACGATTATGATAGGCGATTACAATTTTGTGAGGAAATGATGAGACGGTGTGACGACAATAATGGTTTTCAACGAGACGTACTTTTTTCGGATGAAGCTACGTTTTATTTAAATGGAGTGGTTAACAGGCACAACTATCGCTTTTGGTCCCAGGAAAATCCACACTGGACATGCGAATCGCATACGCAGCATCCACAAAAAGTTAATGTATGGGCAGGTATCATCAACAACAGAATCTTGGGCCCATTCTTTTTTGAAGAAAATCTTACTGCCGCACGCTACCTGGATTTCCTAACATTTGACCTGATACCTGCTCTAGCTGTGATTTTCCCTCATGAAATTGATCCAGATATACCGAATGAAAGAATTTGGTTCCAACAAGATGGCGCTCCCCCACATTTTGGTATTGATGTTCGAAGATACTTAGATGAAATGTTTTCAAATCGCTGGATTGTTTTCTTTGGGGATATTTGAAAGAAAGTGTCTACCAGGACAAACCGGATAATATTGAGAAATTAAAGAATAAGATTAGGGCGGAGATGCATAATTTACCAGCTGAAGTAATTCAGAATGCTGTGGACAGCATTACTATCGTATTGGAGAATGCCAAATAGTGAATGGAGGACATTTTCAGCATTTGTGACATTGAGTTTTGAATTATCTAGTTGTTTCAATTTCTAAATTAAAAAAAAAAAACTTGTTTATTTGGTATGGCTGGATTCAATTTTCTATAAGCTTTTCAACGAGCCCCCTCATGCCTTATGTTTTCATTTGAAAAAAAAAAGTAGGGGTAGCTGAGGGTTAGGGGGTTAAAGAAAAATTAATTATTATATAACCGAAAGATGGGAAAAAATCAAAATCAGTTAACGTGTTTCGGCGTTTTAAAAAAAATTCAAAAGATATAAATTTTATTCCATACTTGTGGCCATCCCTTATTTCTAAATAGCCTACATATTTTTCGATATTTTAAATCCAAGATATACAAAGTGATTCAGAACTTATGCAAAAAATTACTGTACAGGAAACTCTTACAAACAAAATTTTGTAAAAAAAACAAAAAGAGCGACAAAATGATTTAAAAATACACTTCTGCACGGTACTGGAAGCTGGTCCACTGTAAAACCTGATCTTGCGCAAGGCAAACCATGCAGTCGGCGATCGGCACGGCGACAAAGTGTACTAAAAAAAAAACGGACAAAAAATTAAAAGAATTTCTTTCCCAAGGAAAGAAATAAATACAATTTTTACAAGGCCTACTTTATATCAGTAAATTCAACTGCTTTTGCCGCTATTGTTCTTATTAATTAATAAAATTAATTGATAAAATAATTTGACATACCTGATGTTACAACAATTGTTCAAAATTTTGTCCACCGACGCGTAAGCACATTTGGACCCGTCTTACACAGTTTCTACGAACTAACACAAATGTTGTCTTGCTTCACCATAACACAAATCTTTCACCATAACACAAATGTTGTCTTGCTTCATCATAAATTAAAACGATATCCATCAACTCGAAGTTGCTATAAACATAAGCCATTTTTGACACTTGAAAAATTAATGTAAACACTCGCAAAAACGTTAATAAAATCGGATTTGACTAGTCGGAATGGCCTGGGGCCATGTAGAGAGAGAGCGCATTGCGTACAGCGCACAACGCGAATGACGCTAGAGACTACAGTAGCCCATCGATGTAAAGGTTGTAAATACTACAATTTGAATAATTTTTTTCTCGAAAACTATAAGGATTTTACAAAAATTTTTATTAACGATTTGACCCCATTTTTCATGACGCATCTATTTTCAAATTTTTTTAGATAAGTTGTGAATCACCGTGCATACAAAAATTTTTCAAGGTATAAACACCAACATTTTTTTTGTAAATGTTATATAGGTGAGGGTTGCTTTCGCTGTGCAGCAAAAATAAAACGCTCTCTCAACGGTAAAAATAAAGTATTTTTTATTAAAAACTAAGTTTGTGGAAAAAGACGTGTTGTCGGTTCGAGAGTTTGCTGGAGAGTCCCTCTTGGTGTGGAGTCACTCGCAGAAGTACCTGGTCCTTGGCGCCAATATGTCGTCGACCTTTTTTTTGGAACCCTGTTGCATCCCGGGTGGCGTCAGGATGGCGCTATTGACGTTGTACTTAAAAATGGGTCACTTGCGGCATGTGTACCCACATAGGTTTCAAAAATCGAAAATAATTTACGGTACTCCATTCAAAATAATATAGATATAAAATTGAGGAACAGAAAGTTACAAAAAATATTGCTTACGTCACTGTATTCTTTTTTACAAAAATCTAATATTTTCACAAAATGTAGGACATCATACAAAAATGTCACAATTGAAAAACGCCCTGTGGAACAAATTAAGACAACCGAAAAATCAACTTTTCTCGAATCAGTGGCATCTAAACTATTTTCAGGAAATAGGAAAAAAAAATTATCGAATATGGCCATTTTTTTCAGTGAACCACTTTTTAATACGTTATTGAATATTTTATATTAGAAATAAAAATAAAAACAGGTCAAGTAGCCCTTAATTCTTTTCGGTTCGTTTTCTTTCATTAAATATAGGAGAAATGTGTAATGTTTTCAAGATATACTTCATCTATAGAAGTAGTTTAATAAACCTTACTTTTTATATCATCGTACCATGTATCAACAGCTCATATTTTGCGTGGCTCCCTATCAAAGCTCCACAACTCGTCGGCAAACAACACGCAGATATTAGGATGCTTACGTCCAGAGGACAGACCAATGCAACTATAGTCTGTTTGGAAATGAAAGGGAGTAATAAAACCCGAGATAAGAACCGGCTATGGGTGTGGTAATATTTCGTTTCAGGTAATTATCGGGTAACACTAATGCTAACAGGTAATGGGTGTACATTACTATATTTTACTGGATACATCACAATACACTGGGCAGGAGCCAGTGTATTGTGACAGATCAATCCAGTCTTAGAGCTGAATATACGAAGACGTGCTAGTGCAGTAGAGTAAAATTCGACCTGTGTTTAGTGACTATTCTGCCAGTGGATATAATATTGTTTGGGTAAAATGTCGAGCTTATCAGATTACGTACCTGCTAAACGCGTGAAAAGATGTGCGCTGTCTCAGAATGAGAAGATTATTATATTAAATGGATTTAATGCATTGAAACACCAAAATCCTACCAACAGTGTTGACGACATCATGGAAAAGTGTTCCAGAATTTTAATATAGCTACTTTTTTATTTTTTTTATTGTACATTTATACAACACTACATTTACTCACCATAATTTGAATTTTCAAAATACATATATTTTTGTGTGGAATAAAAGTCTATTCATTAAATTTAAATAAATATTTTGATAATAATATTTATTTGAATTACTAAAAACCCTCTTAACCCGGTTGTGATGCTTAAAGTAGCCTCATGTTTTGAAATGCTGTTTTTATATTGTTTACTTATAAGAGAAATGGACCGAGAAATTGAAGCGGCATAGACAAAGACGGATTGTCGGGGATTAAATTTTAGCTACCTGCTACAATTTAGTACAACCCGGTCACACAGTGACCGGGTTGTACACAAGTTTTTTTTTAAAAGTACACCTCATCTATACCGAT